TGGTAGGACCTGCAGGGACATGAGTCCCAGCCAGTTTAGCTTGTTGGGTCACTGCGGCATTCAAGCCCGACCACCACGGCAAGGTAGCAGTTATCGGCCGGGAAGGAAGAGAGAACCACTACGACTTTTGTTACAATTATATTTAGTCGAAAATGATGACAGTAATAAGCGTAGTTAAAATCAGATAGGAGGATTTCTGTTAAGGAGGTTTGAAGAGAGTTTATAATGTGGAGGTATTACTAGACAAGCATTGGATAAAAAAGAGATGAGATTCTACAAGCAATATATAAGAGTCAAGAAGATAAGAGCAATGAATTATTCGCCTAGAGAGTATTTCTACATTACAAGATAGTTGTCTATTGATTAATTAATGATTAGGGCGTATTTAAAACTTTTATGTGATGTGCAGTCAAAACAGTCGGTCAATTTTCAATAAATCATAATATCCACCAAGACTATCACTCCAAATTGCATCATGTAGAGAAAGACATGAACTGAATTTTGTAAGCCTCAGCTGAACGTCATGTATAGATACTAACATATGTCTTAATTGATTATACAAAATATGGTGAGAAAACATACCTAACGTATTGGAGTATTTAGCAATTACGCTAAACAGCCTCCAGGGCAATAAAATGGAAGTTACAAATTACAACGTAAGCGATTCCCATCAAAATTATGCTATACACCTCTCTTATTATTATTACGGACAACTGAAATACATGAGTCACGTAGTACTGTTAGTGCTTAGTAAGATTTCTCCTATTCTGAAATTGATTTTCAAAAAATTCCTAAACCTCACAAATCAGATGGATGATATGTTTCATCAGATAACCTCTATACTTGGAGAACAAATGAGATTTACAATGAATTCTGGCTTTGAATGCTTGTCTTTGATAATTTGGCTATACTTTGTACTTCCTGTTTTAAAACGATTAATAAATGTATGGATATACCAAGCGAATTTGAAAACGCGAATCTCTCCAGAAATTTATGGACTTACTACAGTGCAGTTATCAAGCTTTTGCTTAACAGATATACTGAGGAAATGTACATTACACCAATGCCGCACAATTAAAACGGGATTAAAACACATGAGTGCAATTTCATACAGTAGACATATCATATTACTCACTCACTACACAATATCTGAAATCAGAATACGCGTATTAACAATCTCATACATTATTGAACGCCTCTGCTTTCTAATATCAAGTATACTTGAGATCATACGCATAGTATGTAAACTTATTATTATTATATCTGAAACGTTGTGGTACTTAGCTTTTATCATGAAAAATATTGGCCAGTGTTTATATGTATTTAATGCAATTCTAATTGCATTCAATCAAATAATAATCAGACTACCTAGTAAATCAGTTAGCGAAAAAATATACTGGTCGCGATTTTAAAATACCAACATTCAGGCAATAAAGATTGACACGTTAAAATACTACCGGATGAAAATATAGAAGTATAGATGAAGCAATTACAATAAATCCTTCTTTTTCTCCACCTCGTTTACTCCCTCGCTAACATTTCGGTAAGGAAAGCTGCAACCTGGACCGCTACGCAGTAATTTTAAACCTTAAGTTAACAGTGTTACTTGCATATACGTTTAGTAGTGGATAGTGATGGGATCAAGTGAGCATGTTCCGTGAAAACTGTTTGCTTGAGGCATGTATGGAGGTGTAGACTGTCTAACTAGGGTCGTCCAGACGCTACAAGCCAAATGGCTGGAGACTGTTGGTGATATGCCTCAATATCATTCTCAATGGCGTAGATGCAATCACTCTTCGCAGTCTCCTAAATCCGTCACATCCCCATTGTACGCCATTTAATTATTTTTTCTCAAAAAGGTTTCCATTTATTATAGCTTTTTGCATTTTGTTTTTCCTGCCTTTATGTAAAGTTTTATAAAATGTGGGAATTTAAAATACTACACTTTTGTGTAATAATAATAATAATTTGCTTTATTCGAGAAACAGTACTAATGGTACAGTGTGGAATTTTGTGTAGAGTTTTACGCTGAAAATTCGCTTTCAGGTCCTTATTTCAGTGGGTCTACAACCACTATTGAGAAAAAAGTGGTATACTGGATTTGAAGGCAGCGAATTTCATAAAGGCGTACGTATCTGGAATTGGCGACTCAACGACAAGATAAAAGCAGTCTTGAATTCCATCACTAATGCCGACGAACCGACAACGGTGATCGTCTTCTATAGTTCTGTTCAGATAATCATCTGTTTCTAGTCAGCACTAACTTTAGGCACAAAGACAGACACTGCGTACCTGGCGACCTCCATCACCAAATCAACGTTGGACTCAGATGGACCACATAGCCATAGGGTATCGTTGGCGAGGGTCAGTAGAAGACTGCTGCTCCTTTTGAAACACGTGTGTAGACTCCGACTACGCTCTGGTCCGCGCACGTTTATGCTTATGACTAAACGGACATAAGAAATTGCTGGCAGCGAAACAGTTACGTCCCCAATTACATCGAGACTCTGAGTACTCATATAAGCAAGACGTAGCGAAACGAGTGTCTGAGGTCTACAGCAGGACTCCTCCTGAGGTAGCCTGGCACAACACACAGTTAGCTTTAGGCTCAGCTGTAAAAGCTATTAAAAATCTGAAACCGAAAGTTAGTGAGAGCCATTGGATCTCTACTACCTCATCCGAACTGATTGATGCAAGAAGACTGATTCCGGCGAGCTCTGATTACGATGAGGAGCGAAAGCTACTCAAACGAAAACTAACAAGAAGTCTTCGTAACGACCGTGAACAATGGTGGGCGACAAAAGTAAAAGAGATGGAAAAGGCATCGGCGACAACTATTTAGGCCTATCAGGGAAATGGGTGATAAAAGGCAAATGATAAATGAAGCAATCTCCGGGGAAAATGGCACCATAATTAGCTCCCAGGATAGACGACTAGGACGTTGGAAAGAACACTTTGAGGAGCAATTTAATTGGCCTACAGCCACACTCAACTTACCTAACATCCAACACCTCCCTGAATGGGATATAGACACAGGTCCTCCATCCCTAACTGAGGTTACTAAGGCTGTCACTAGTCTGAAACGGGCCAAAGCTGCGGGACCCAATGGAATGACTCCAGAGGTGTTTAACTACAGTGGAGACATTTACTGTCTGCGTTAACTGAGGTTCTAGGAAGCATCTGGGAATCAGAGGAAGTTCCGTCGTGTTGGTGTCTCTGATTATCCCAATATACAAGAAGGGAGACAAGTCTTCCTATGAAAATCACAGGGGGGTTAGCTTGACTAATATAGTATCTAAAGTCCTAGGCTCAATAATAATGCGTAGACTAAGTGGTGTTCTGGATGCACAAAGACGAGAAAACCAGGCAGGCTTTAGATCAGGAAGAGGGTGTATTGATCAAATCTTTACCCTTCAACTGATTCTGAAACATAGGCATACTTACCGACGTCCAACAATCGTTATATTAAAGGCGGCATTCGATTCTGTCGACCGAGAGGTACTCTGGCGATGCGTGGCTGTAAGTGGAATGCCAAGAAAATACATCTCACCGATCAAGCCACTCTACTCGAACTCATGCAGCCAGCCAGGTGAGGGCTCAGGGCGAGTTGTCATCTGAACTGGTGACAACTAGTGGTGTCCGTTAGGGATGCCCACCATCCCCATTTCTATTCAATTTCATCATAGATGTACTAATAACTTCATAGACTCAGGGATTGACTTGTTACCAGGGAATAATCTCGTTGACTTAGAATATGCAGATGATATCATCCTTCTAGGTGAAGACGCTGACAGAACGCAGAGTCTTCTGAACACCTTGAGCTGCAATCTACGAATGTTTGGCATGCGATTCGCTCCCGCCAAATGTAAGATGATGTTACAGGACTGGACGACACTGACTCCTAGCTTAGAAATAGGGAGTGAATTGGTAGAGCACGTTGACCACTTCACTTATTTGGGAAGTTGCATCAGCCAGCGCCAACGGGTTGATCGCTGACGAAATTTCAGCACGGATACAGAAGGCTCGTTTCGCATATGCCAGTTTACGCCGTCTCTGGCGTAGACGTAATATCCGGCTGGTTATCGACCAAAGGGCGTGTGTACTGCTCATCAGTCCACTCCGTCCTCTCTTATGGCTGTGAGAGAGTAGAAGACATGAAAGGCTAGTTGTCTTTGATCATAGATGCCTTCGTTCTATCTCCCGTGTGAAGTGGTATAATTAGGTGAGCAATATTGAGGTGAGGTATCGGTCGAGTTCTAGGTAAGGAGGGGAAATCAATCGACGAGGCTGTGAAGTTACATCGATTGAAATGGCTGGAACGTGTTACGCATGCCCAGTCATCGCCCTCCTCGACAATGGGCAATGTTAGCTGACACAGGTTCAGGTTGGAAGAGAGCTAGTGGTGGTCAAACCAAAACACGGCACCAGTCAATGAAATCCACAACAGTTAGTCTAGGCCACGTAGGAAGGTGTAGACTTGCTGGTTGGGGTCCTCGGGACGGTAAAAACCAATGGTTGGAAACAATTGGTGATATGGCTCAAAATCGTTGTCAGTGGCGCAGATGCATCCACTCCTTGTGACTTATGATTTCCAATGAAACTGTTTTGTTCTTCGTTATTACTATACCTATGTCTCACACCTCTGTTTACTGTCTATACTTTGCATTTCTCCTACTTTCTTCTCTTGTTTTGTGCGCTACTTGGAGTATGGCGACTTGAACTGCTGCACATCGGTGCAAAAGTTCTGTGTTGAAAACAGGCAGACATATAGCGACAGACAGTATGAAGACACTCATGGAATGATTCTGTGTACATACAGTAACTAGCTAACCCAATTACGTAAATCGAAAATCTAAACAGCAGTAATATTCTTCGTCATGAATTTGTATTTCAAACAAATACAAAACAGAACAGGAAGTCAAATCCTCAGATATTTGCAAACAAAAAGCCCAATCACATTGAATGATTTTCTATTTTATGTATTTGTACAACCTGTTTCATTAACTGGTCATGTTGAAATAGTCTTCGTAATTAACCAACTGGAACCAATGCCCACAATAACACTGAACTGGATCACCTTTGTCTAATTCTAACCAATTGATAGAATTGGCCTCTGGTTCACCTAAGTGACAGAATAAGAAAGTAGTAGCAGCATAGTAATTTTTAAAATAATTCAGCAAGTAAAGATATTTACAGAAAAGTGGTGCAGTTTCCTTCAACAAAGATATTTAGTGAGTAGAATCGGTGTTCATGAGATAAGAAATTCTCTGAAAACCACTTCACAATATGATAAGCTGTACTATTGTATAAAATCAGACGTAATGGATATAAGTGCTAAACCAAAAATTATGCACTTTAGTATGTCACCAAGCCAATCGAAGTTACTGTAAGACAGAAACAATGCCATCAGTGATTCAACCCACAGGACTGACGGGATATTCTTGGCAGCTAAACTCTATCCAGCTGGCGTAAGTAGCGATATTGGAGAAGAATATCGGTAGTGTCCTTAAGGTTTAAGAGTAAAAAGACTTTTATTCGAAAAAGACAATCATCTTTGAATTTGCTATTGCTACATGACGAGTCTTACTACACCGGAAGGACTGAATTGTTTTAGAATGTATGAATGTATGTCAACTAGCATGATATTCACTGACCTTAAAAAGCCTTTGATAAGTTGCGTTATCTGAGTCTTATTGTAAAAGCACCATTACTGGATAACTTAGGTTTGTTATTATATGCTTTATCTTAGAATATGCTCATTGAATCTAGAAGTAGACCTCAAAGTTTTACGTCAAAAAGGAGAATGCGAGCCCAGGAAACCTATTATTTACTATGATTAAAGTCAAACATTTCAAATGACCAAATACACAAGTGTCGAAACAGCCTATGGTATAATGTAATTACATCACTCCATTTAACCTCGCCTAGATTACTAGGTCACTAGTATTCTAGCCGGTCCCAAGCCCGGATAAAGAGGGAGGGTTGGGGCGTGGTGCTAGCAACTCCACCCCCAAAACTTAACCAAATTACTACAGAAACTTCAACGCACAAATATATTCAAAATTCTAAAAATGCAAACAATAACCTTATTTTCCGCTGGAATCGGGGAAGTGAAATGACGCAGGCTGGTGAAAGCCAGTCAGCCGATATGCCTTCTTTCGATGAAAGCAAAAATAAAGATGGGGACGTGGAATGTTCGTACAATGTACGAAGCTGGAAAGGCTGCCGAGGTAGCCGCAGAAATGAGAAGATATAAAAAAGAAGTGTTGGGAATCTGCGAGAGCAGATGGAACGGACGCGGAAGGGGCCAACTACCAACTGGAAAGACAATAATCTACTTCGGTCACCCAGAGGACAACCACGAGCACGCCGAGGGAGTAGCCATCATGATGTCACCAACAGCAGCCAAAGCTCTCATGCAGTGGGAACCAATCTCCTCCAGGATAATGACAGCTAGGTTCAACTCAAAAGGAAGGAAGGTTACAATCATTCAATGCTATGCGCCTACAAACGTCTCAGAACAAGAGAAGAAGGAGGCCTTCTACAGACAACTACAAGCAGTAATGGACAACGTCCCAAATGGCGATATCAAAATCCTGATGGGTGATATGAATGCGAAGCTGGGAGGAGACAATACAGGAAGAGAACGACAGTGGTGAACTCTTCTCAGACTTCTGCGCCTTCAATGATTTGGTGATTGGTGGCAGTGTGTTCAAACACAAGGATATACACAAGGCGACATGGATTTCACCAGATGGACACACCAAAAACCAGATAGACTTCATTTCAATCTCAAGGAAGTGGCGACGGAACCTACTGGACACAAGGTCGAGGAGAGGAGCAGATTTGGGTTCAGACCACTATCTAGTACAAGGGACTTTCAAGATGAAGCTAAAAGCCTCGAGGATAGCTGGGGATAGGCCACAATGCACGTTCAACACTCAAAAACTGAAGGACACAACCACACAGGACATTTTCACTGCAACTGTCAGAGCAAAGCAGGAAACACTACGTGACACCACGGAAGAATCATGCTTGGGAGACCATTGGAACTCTCTGAAGGTGATTTTCAACGAAACGTGTTCGACGGTTTTAGGAAGAAAGAAGAAACAAGACAAGGAATGACTCTCAAAGGACATTTGGAAGCTAATAGAGGAGAGGAGAATGGTGAAAGAGAAAATGATTCAATGCAAAGACGGACAAGAGAAGGAGATGCTGAGTTCAGCTTACACAGCACTGGACAAAGAAGTGAAGAAGAGTGCCAGGAAGGACAAAAGACAATTCTACGACAATCTGGCCACTGAAGCTGAGAAGGCAGCAGGCAAAAGGGACCTGAGGACATTATATCAGATAACCAAGTCTCTATCGGGGAAGAGATCAACACAAGTGCAACCTATATAAGACAGCCAAGGGAACCCAATTACCAAGGAAGAAAGATAGATTAAACAATGGGCGGACCACTTCAAAGGACTATTGAACAGACCACCACCTGCAACCCGTCCAGAAATACCAACAACAGCACGTACACAACTGCAAGTTGACACCAATCCTCCAACGACAGCTGAAGTCTTGAATGCAATCAAGCTTCTGAAAGCTGGAAAAGCAGCTGGACCAGATGGAATACCCCCGGAAGCACTGAAAGCGGACCCAGAGACGACGGCAGATATGCTGACTCCATTATTGCAAAAGGTCTGGAAGGAGGGAAAGGTGCCTACTGACTGGAGGAAAGGTTACCTCGTGAAACTACCAAAGAAGGGCGACCTAGGATTCTGCAAGAACTGGCGAGGAATCATGCTCCTGTCGTCGCCAAGTAAAATCCTGAGTTGCATCATCCTGGAGAGAATCAAGGACGCACTGGATACAGAACTCCGACCAGAACAAGCTGGATTCAGGAAAGGCAAATCATGTTCTGACCAAATTGCAACTCTACGCATCATCATCGAACAAAGCATGGAATGGCAATCAAACCTCTGCCTCAACTTTATAGACTTTGAGAAGGCCTTCGACAGCGTTGACCGTGAAGTAATTTGGAAACTACTCGAGTACTACGGCGTACCCCAAATATTCATCAACCTTATTCAACAGCTGTACGACAACGCCACATGTCAAGTGATCCACAATGGAAAACTCAGCAAGGAGTTTGGAGTAAACACAGGAGTCAGACAAGGGTGCTTATTATCACCAATGATATTCTTAATTGTGGTGGACTGGATTATGCGTCAGACAGTGGGAAACGAGAAGACGGGGATATCCTGGACCGACGTGAAGAACCTAGAAGACCTGGATTTCGCGGATGATTTATGTTTGATGTCACACAAAATCGAAGACTTACAAGCGAAAACCGACAAACTGGTCGAAGAAGCAGCAAAGACAGGACTCCAGGTGAACATAGACAAGACGGCGAGTGGGACGTCCAAGGGTGACATGGAGGAGATCGTGTGAAGAAGAGTTGAAACAGTATGGAATAACATGGATGCAAGTGAAAAGTACAGCAGAAGACAGAAGCAAGTGGAGACGTGCAGTTGAAGCCCTATGTTCCACTAGGAACCCAAGGGAACAATAATAAACAATAATAATAATACATCACTCCATAAAGTGGTGGTAAATTGGGAAGTATGGTGAATTAAATATTACATCAACTGGCATTACAGTGTTCTGCTTTAAATAAAGATAGGTTATAAGCAATATATTATTTGGCAACAGGACAGAAAACAACATTTTATCAGGACAGAATAGAGATGATCTAAGTGGTACAAACCACATTTCTTTTAATGTAAACATGAAAAAGTAAGAATAACTCTTTTCTTTAGATATTTGCGGAAGACTTTGATCTCTGAAGAGCGATACACATTGATGGAAAACCTAAGGGCCCTACAAAGTCTATCTACCAATGCATACGAAACAGAATTCATGAAAACGGAAAGGACTAGAAGGTCAAGACTAGTCACATCCACTTTATGAAAACCTAAGTTAGCAATCTGATAGATTTTAAAAGTCTAACAAGACACTCCCATTCGCTTCATGAACCCACCTTTTTTTTCTTGTTATGACCTCATACAATTATCTTCAGTTTTAAGCGTTCCCGCGGACGTCGAATTTTACCCAATAGGTTTTAATCCCCATTAAGTAGCTATTTATAAACATTAACAATCAACTTAAATGCAGTATATTGCTTAGTACAAAAACTCACATGTAACAGTTTAATGATGTCAATGTATATACGTCTAGCATAATATTTTGCATAGGGCTTAACCATTTGGTACAAATTATTATTACTTGATAATAAACTTACAGGACCTTTTATTTACATCGGTTATCATTATAATTTTGAAAAGAGATGCATGCTAAGAGCTAGTTGCAAATGAGTTATGAATATTTTAAAGAGATATCTTGAGCTGGTGTACATATTGAAAACACATTTCATGGTATTAACCAGTCACACTTCTAGAATTTTTGAGTAAATAAGTTACTCGGAAAGATTATCACCAATGAATAGTATAATTTAAAATTAATGAAAATTTCTGCACATTTAATACACATCTAATTTAATGCTGTCATTACCACACTCAGCAAACATGTGTAAAAGAGACAAAACACTATGATACTAACGATGATAAAACCCCTTGACTAAATATTTTTTAATATTTTTGTTTATAGCTTGATGCCACACCGTATTTTCAGTACAAGTGTGGAATTTTCAGCATGGATATCGGTAGCCTAAATTTTGCAGGCCGACCATAGATATCAGGTGTGCGTCGGCAGGGGATCGAACCTCGGACCATGTGCATGGTTGGCGAGAGTCCTAACCACTGTGCCACCGATTTAAATGTTACAACAGTTGTCTACTTACATATACATCCCACCATTCGTCTCGACGACTGGGAAGCGATTAGGTTTGGAGCAGCCTTTGAAGTGTTCGCTAACATTTTTATGCGTCTGACTTCGAACGGGTCCTTTCAACAAATAAAAAATTGCAGACGTTTTCATAAGTTACCTGTTCCATCAAAATTTTTGCGACTAGTCCATAATTTCTAGTGTTGACAGCTTCAGTAAGCAGTGGAAAGTCGGAAACTGAAATAGTAGGTGAAAAATAGTTTAAACTTACCAACACACTTTTCAGACGAATCACCCACACCTGACTTTTCAGTAAAAGATCGTGAATAACACCGGAAAATGTCCTCCCTCTTAGCGAGAAGTCTAACCAGGTTAGGTCTTGAAAAGGCCAACATGCTTCAGCCTCAAGCGACCTAAACACAAAATTTGGTTAAGAAATTTCTAACGAAGTCAAAAGCAATGACACATTAAAACTTATCTAAAGTAACCATAATGCAACTTCATATTATCGGCAAAAAAACTCACCTTATCAACCTTATTCTCGTGAAAAATCGGTTTCAGCTTGCGAATCTGGAAAAGAGAAGAATTCTAATTTTCTTAAGGTCGACATCACAAATCTACTCACTACTACTCGACGAATGCTGAAATGAAAACACAGGAATTAAAGTAGCCTTACATAATAAATGTATAATTTATCATCATACAATGAACGCCAACAAAAGCAAATATCTTTAGATGACTAGCTAGGGTTACTTGGCGGGTGACTCTTAAATATAGCAGCCCAAAGAGTTATATTTATTCCTTTAGTATCATATAAATTGCAGTCAAGCAACTCACTGCATTTTTTAATATCTTAACCCAAAGAAAACTACAGGGAATTAGGAAATTTAATAATATCCAATCAAAACTTAAACAACTGCACACAAATAACTGACCTTGAAGTAGAAACACTGTTTGTCTGGCCCGCGAAATGATTACGAAATGATTGCTGGTTCCAACATTGTAAAACCTATGGCAAATCTACTAGCAGTGTCTTCAGCAAAATAGAGAGTTAAAAGGAATAAAAATATGCTGGTTATCTATGTTGCACAAGGGAAGCAAGCTAACTATTGTGCGTCGGTGGCACAGTGGTTAGGACTCTCACAGACCATGCACATGGTCCGGGTTACGATTCTCTGCCGACGCACACCCGATATCAATGGTCGGCCTGCAAAATTTGGGCTACCGATATCACATGCTGAAAATTCCATACTTCTACCAAAAATTACTGTGTGGAATCGAGCTTTAATCAAAAAAAATAAGAATGTAGATATTGTGTAACATCAGGCCACAAGAATTACATCTTTGGAATTAGTCGAAGCCGCTTTTCATACGTGAATAACTACCACGCACAAATGTTATCTATACGATTAAGAAATCAGTAACCTGTGACTAGAATTATTCAGTGCATTTAAGGTCGTTTACCGAAAAACTCATTTCAGGGTCTTTTTCATCCGTGTAACTCTGCCATGATAGTGTGCGTATTGCTAACAATTTGTTCATTTTACGGTTTCGTGTTTCTGCCACAGTAAATCTCAGTATAGACTATTCCTTATTACTGCATTTAAAATCATAATGGTTTTCGCCAAAGTGAAAATTATTTCCTTTCTTTCGAATGTTTCCCCCAACAGGTTAGTTAATTAATCTCATTGTCACAATAAGATGCCCGTACATCTGGATCAGTTGAGAATCACCATCGGAATTATTCATCCCTCTCCATTAAAACTAAATATGCAAGTGCAGGTGGCTTTGATTTCTTCTTAACCTTATATCTATTATATCCATGAGCCTTTGATTGGTTCCCTGACAGATTTTCTTTAAGTTTGCCGCTCAAGGCCACGTATTTAACCATTACAAAAGAGAAAGCTATGGCATTTTTTGACAAAGGTCTGCAGCCAGAGCGCCACCACAGACTATAAATTATCGATAAACACCGACATGATTAGTGTTGAAAATGAGTCGAGATATGGAAATCTACACAAATGAGTAGCACTGAGCAGCTTTTCTACTTTTCCAGTCAAACCTGGTTCTCACATCTTCATCTGTGACACTCATAGTGCAAATGCTTGTGCCGCAGCACGTGAAAGACATGACTTCCTTCCGATTTCGCTCATCGCTGGATATTTGTAATTGCTATAGTTAGTGGTAGTCAAATATCTCCATCTTTTTTATCTCGTATGTGTTCACCCAAAACGTCCTTATCACCACGTCACTGGTCATCATGGTTGAATCTTCCGGCTCTATGTGAGATGACGGGGGGATTCCACCTCTATGTCATTCTTAGTTTGTTTATTCAGACTCACCAGTGAACCCATCTTCAGCCATAGAGAAGACGCGGTCTACTAATGAATGTTCCACAACGCGTTCGAGTGCTGCTGAATGCTATGTACCTAAGTTTCAGAATAGTTCTTTTTGTGTAATGGTGCGCACTCCGTAAATACAGAGACAAAAGAACACTTCTTCAATTTCGAAAATACTACACTCTTTTGCCAAATAATAGTGGCAGCGCAATCTACTGACGTCAAAATCACCCGCTATTTTAAATTGGCCAAGTAAGTAGTTCAAATCTCTGTGCTGAATTCGACCACCAGATACTCCCTTATGTTGATTAGGGGTCACTGGTAACTCCCTTATATGTAATAAGAGCTTTCTTTTAAAGAATTCCATAGTCTATATTCATCCACAAGATGAATTTGGGAGTGATCATATTCCTTTAATTTCTTATAAGCAAAAATTTCATTCCTTTTCGTCATAAGGATGTCAGAGACCACACGAGCTGATATATGAAACAGCTTATTGCGGGCCTAATTGTTTTGGGTTTTACTTATATCTTGTGAGGATTAGTCCAGACGTATTTCGTGGCCGCTCTTGCCGTTAAAGAAACCTTTACTATTTAAGTACACTCAAGAAAACTTAGTCATTATTGTTTATGTAACTGTACTGCAGAAGTGGTAACACACTGATTAAACCTTTCTTTCAGATAGAGATTATGACAACATTAATCTTCAATGAGATGCAAGTATGTACTAATTGATATTGATCATGTCGTTCAAATGACCAACAATATTCGTTTATATGGACACGAGATGAAAAATTTTCACTGGATAGCGAAAATCCAGCTGATACTTTCGCTTGCTGACAGCTGCTCACCGTGAAAAGAAATATTCCAACTATTTTGAAACATAACTCACCATTATGAGGTGTGATGCTAGTAAGCAATAATAAACCATGTGAGAAACACATAAGTACCTCAAACAGCTAGCGTCACTTAATCAGACATTTGCAAAGCAAAATATTTCCGCTGTAACTTAAATCACTACTAAGAATAAAAAATTAGTTCCACAAAACGGAATCGGCGTTAATAGAAAGAACTAACAAAAAAGAATATATTACCCTCAGAGAGTCGATAGGTATGTCGTCATTCTATGGCGTAACTTTGAAACAACCAAATCTTTCATAGTAGTGATAACACTATGGTTAACAGTACACCACACCAAAACAGTAATGAGATAAATTAAAAATGTGAGTCAGCCTAAAACCAAAACAAACAATGATCATTTTACAAGAAGATGTGGAGAATGTTAGAATGATTGTTGGCAGGTCTTTGACGTAAGATAACAATTGTGAAGAGACTTCTAATGTACAAACATACGTCGATGTATTAAAATAACTTTCGGAAAGGACTTTCAATTCATCACCGATTGTGCATAAGGCATGTTTGTCTCAGCTTTTTCTCATTAGTTACTCGGAAAATTATCACGAGCACAGTATTAGCTTTTGTTTTCTGCCCACCTGATTATTGTATTTAAATTGACTGCTGTGTATGTGAAGCATTGAGAGGGAATGTGGAAGGTGTCCCTATTATCAGTGATCAAGTCTAGCTATGTGATCAGAGCGTTCCAAAAAGGGAAATAAATCATCCGGTTATTTCAGGAAGCAGTGAATTTAAGACAACCCTGCTAATAAATCTACCGGGGCTGCATATAACACAACACTAAATCTCATTGTGGTTGGATGCCTGTAGGGACGTAATAATATTACTATGTCTTGGTGACAATATGCTGTGGTTTTAATGATCTTTTCAGTCTAAATTACCATGAGGACTATTATTTGCAGAACTCTGGGATCATACTAAAGTATCTGACAGCGACAGAGAAAAAATTTCGGCTTCGAAGTGATCTGTCCCCTGGCACAGCCAGTATCTCTCTAATTTGGTTGACCTAACAATAACCTCTCCATGACCTCAACTTGACTTTAAGCCTTCCAAAATCTGGATTAAGAATCACCAAGTACCACATTCAATACAATATCTCTCAGTTAAACATGACGCCCTTTAATCGGCTTTTACCAACTTGCTGACTGGTCGCTCCATGGTAACTGATGTCTTCGCGCCTCTAAGCTGCCTGAAGTTTATTTTCTGTCTATCAGCTTCACAGAGCCTAATGTGAATCAGAACACAGTCCCTTGTCACTGCATTCATTTGATGAAAATACCGCAAGTAGGTGATATGACACTGATCAGAAGGATGCTGCCAATTGGCTGCAATTATGATTGGATTTCCTGTTTATGAAGATTTCATGGCGTGTCCACGGGTCACCTATAAACTCAGTATTAGAGTCTTGAAAGATGACGTACAGGTGACAGATAGCAGACCACGCATGGTGCACCACTTTTGGAATAAAAATTGCTTCTAAATAATAATCTCATTTTCCGACAGCAATCACTACGGATAGATAATGTCTGATACATTCATGGTCGAATAGTGGATTTCATGTCTCCACTCAAGCAAATGTTGCTATCAGTCGGTTCAAAAGTCATCATCTTCATAACTGATGACTGAGACTTGTATTGTCCGTATTTGGATAAAAGACTGCCGATTATTTCCCTGAGTATACAACATTTTAAAGGAAAACCAAATCTTTACGATCTGTAATGGGAATACTGACATCATTTTCTGACACATGTTTGCTAACCTCACTATCTGGTAGCTAGAAGCTTATATCAATGTTTTCACGGTCTAGTGAATTCGCTACCGCGCGAACTTTGAAAAGGGAGTGAATTTTACACGGGGTGAGGCTAAACGTTATAACCATATGTTTTCGCGCAGTGTATGGGTTATCGCGTTCACGCTTATATAGGCGTTGTAATCGGTCATTTTTGTGAAATTAGATTACGTTTGACTAGTTTTAGGCTTCTTTAGCCGAAAAAAGCAGTATTTTGCTGTATTGTGTTTGTAGTAATGAGTAAAATTGTCTTGATAGTCCAGACGAATTATTAATAAAATAAGTCATCATTTTTAAGAAATTTGGCATAGAAAGACTAATATTTGCTTTCTAGAGCCTTGAGGCTTTGTTTTTCGCTAGTTGGTTTAGATCTTAAGGTTGAAAACTGGCTACAGGCAATTGCTGTTGTCATCGCAGTTATTCAATGAGAACCGGACATTTGAAAGAGAAATAGCCGAGAGACATAAATTAGATGTGTGTTTTGAGGATGTTTAACACTTCTGTTATCATCTGTGATGACTGAAATAATCCCTGACACATCGAAGAGATCATGCGATGAATGAGATATGCTGCTGCATATCCTGGTTATTATATATATTCAAATGAATTTCCTAGTTGAAATTGCTCGATTAGTATCTAGCAGCTGTGTCCTACAACTACTACACCTGTTACATAAGTTATACTAGTCTTAATAATTATTCGTGTTCAGATCACTGAGATATTCTGAGATCCTTAATGAATTACTTTTGGCTATGAAGGATATGGAAGATGCACTTATGCCGGATACCTTTAAAGCATTT